AACAGAGCCACAGACCAGTGGAACAGAATAGAGACTCCAGACATTAACCCAAACATATATCGTCAATTGGTATACGATAAAGGAGCCATGGACATACAATGGGGAAATGACAGCCTCTTCAACAGTGGTGCTGGCAAAATGGACAGCTACATGTAAGAGAATGAAACTGGATCACTGTCTAACCGCATACACAAAAGTAAATTCAAAATGGGTCAAAGACCTGAATGTAAGTCATGAAACCATAAAACTCTTAGAAAAAAACAGGCAAAAATCTCTTGGACATAAACATGAGTGACTTCTTCATGAACATATCTCCCTGGCAAGGGAAACAAAAGCAAAAATGAACAAGTGGGACTATATCAAGCTAAAAAGCTTCTGCACAGCAAAGGACACCATCAATAGAACAAAAAGGTATCCTACAGTATGGGAGAATATATTCATAAATGACAGATCCAATAAAGGGTTGGCATCCAAAATATATAAAGAGCTCACATACCTCTACAAATAAAAAGCAAATAATCCAATTAAAAAATGGGCAGAATTGCTGAGCAGACAGTTCTCCAAAGAAGAAATTCAGATGGCCAACAGACACATGGAAAGATGCTCCACATCACTAGTCATCAGAGAAATGTAAATTAAAGCCACAATGACATATCACCTTACAGCAGTAAGGATCGCCACCATCCAAAGACAAACAACAACAAATGTTGGGGAGGTTGTGGAGAAAGGGGAACCCTCCTACGCTGCTGCTGGGAATGTAAATTAGTTCAACCATTGTGGAGAGCAGTATGCAGGTTCCTCAAGAAGCTCAAAATAGAAATACCATTTGACCCAGGAATTCCACTCCTAGGAATTTACCCTAAGAATGCAGCAGCCCAGTTTGAAAAAGACTTATGTACCCCTATGTTTATCGCAGCACTATTTACAATAGCTAAGAAACGGTAGTAACCTAAGTGTCCATCAGTAGATGAATGGATAAAGAAGATGTGGTACATATACACAATAGAATATTATTCAGCCATAAGAAGAAAACAAATCCTACCATTTGCAACAACATGGATGGAGCTAGAGGGTATTATGCTCAGGGAAAGAAGCCAGGTGGAGAAAGACAAGTACTAAATGATTTCACTCATCTGTGGAGTATAAGAACAAAGAAAAACTGAAGGAACAAAACAGCAGCAGAATCATAGAACCCAAGAATGGACTAACAGTTACCAAAGGGAAAGGGACTGAGGAGGGTGGGTGGGAAGGGAAGGATAAAGGCCGTGAAAAAGAAAGGGTGCATTACTATTAGCATGTATAATGTCGGTGTGGGTAGCATGGGGAGGGCTGTACAACACAGAGAAGACAAGTAGTGATTCTACAGCATCTTACTATGCTGATGGACAGTGAGTGTAATGGGGTTTGTAGGGGGGACTTGGTCAAGGGGGGAGCCTAGTAAACATAATGTTCTTCATGTAATTGTAGATTAATAGCAAACAAACAAAAAAAGTAACAGTAATGGATGCATAAATCTTTGTAATTATACCTTTTTAATATTACTGTTTTGAAATAAGATTGAGGAAGACAAACCAGTCCTTCTTATTCAGAAATCATACAGTATTTTCATTTCACTGAAAATCCACAGGCTGTGTATTAGGTGGATATTACACCAAATTTCTAAGTGCTGGCTTTTCAAGTTATACCTGTTAATTGAAGAATTGGGGAGGGTCTTTTCATAAAAACTAAACAAAGAGTATTGTCTAATAGTTTTAAAAAATGCCACACTAAGGAAATTTTCCTTTTTAGAATGTCATTATTTCGTCATTTAATACAAACTGACTAAACAATAAAGCAAAAAAGTAACTCTAGCATATTTATAATTCTTACTGCCTATTAAGAGCAAATTGAAAGTAAACATTTACTGATTGAGTCACTAACATTTTTTGAGCACCCATTGCATGCTAGCAGCTAGATGATGTATATAATGATACACATAAAAATCAGTAACACAGTAAGGACATAAAAATTCTTGGCTTCAAGAAATTCAGTTTATTTGTAAACAGAAAACATGTATAATATGACATATAGCAATATATTAAGGAGCTTTGGATACACAGAAGATGGAATGACTAATTTTGATTCCAAAAGTTGGGAAGGTTATACAGAAAGTTGAAATGTGTACTGGATTTTAAAGGATGAGTTTGGCAAATGTGAAAGAAGGGACATTAATGTCAAACAAAAGAGCTTGTATAAGCTATAGCTAGAGGTATGAGACTGATTGAGCAGCCTGATGATGTGAGAAACTGTAGCATATGGATGTCAGTAAAGAAAGGCATGTAGTGGTAATGAAACCAACTAGGTAGTTTGACCCAGATTGTGGCAGGTCTTGTGGGACTTCAGTTAGCATTGTATAGGTTTGAACCAGAGGAATGACATGATCAGGCTTGTGCCTTTAAATCATAATTTTGAGTCTTGGCAATAGATTGAGTTGAAAGAGACCGAAGGTTGTAATTTCAGTTTAGGAAGCTCTTACAGTGGCCTAGACAAGAGATGTTAATAATGACCTGAAATAAAGCAATGGCACTGGTACTATTTTGGGAAGAAAGAAAGGTAGTGAATGATGGAGAAGAATGGAATGATGAATTTGAGAGAAATTTGTACAGGAGGTAAAATCAAAAGAATTTGGTGACTGATTAGATGTGTTTTGTGGAGGGCCATTTAAATGATTTTCAGATTTCTTTTCTGATAATCTGTTTTGATGGTGGAACTGTTAATAGAGATAGGAAATAGGAAAAACGCTTGGTTTAGTAGGAAAGAGAGGAGGTAAGCTAACTTTAGTATGCTTGCTGCCAGCCTGACTAGAGATGTCTAACAGGGGCTGGACATAATATTTGGAACTTACAGAGGTCTTGCTAGAGATAACAGTTTTGAATAATCAAAGTCGTGTTTGAGGTCATTAGACTTGAGATTGCACTGAGAGCTAGAAGTAAAGACTGAAGGACGAGGAGGGAGAAAAAGGAAATTGGAGGGATTGTTCATAGATAAAAGAAGACATAAGTGGTGTTACAGAATTCAAAGCAGAAGAGTTTCAAGAAAAAGGGGTAAAATAGAGTAAGAGATGATTGAAAGGAGTGACAAAGGCAGGCAGCTGGCAGGGCAAAGAAAACTGGGGGAAGGCTTTTTTGTTTTCTTTTGTTGTTCTTGGTATAAAGACGGGAAGCAATTTAGCATGTTTACTTAGCCAGGAGAAGAGAGCTAGTGGAAGGACAAGACACAATAGAGCGAATGGATAATCCTCAGAGCTGTTCTTACAGGAGGAGAAAATCAAGAAGATGAAGAAGAGGTAAGCCTCAGAGGGTTAAAAGGAACAGCTCTGTGAGGTGAGCGACAGTGTTTGGTCTGGGTATGGGTAAGGTTTCAGTGAATTTAGAGTTGGAAAGGAACACAGTTTCGGAGACTATGTTTGATGAAAAGATGTAAGTTTTCCTTATACAACAAAGTGAATCTTAAATTGAAAGTGCAAAAGGAAGCCAGCATGTTTCAGAGAGAATAGATTCCCATTTTCTTTGTGTATCCTATTTAGGGACCACTTTCCAAGACAGTTATATAGATCACTAATTGAACTTTTTATCTGCTTCTAACTGCTAATACTTTTTAAGGCTAACAGTGTAATTCAGACTGAAAAAGAAGAGATGGAAAAATTATTCCAGCTTTATAAAGCTCTTTCTAATTCTTTCTTAATGCAGTCTTGTAGAAAGTCAAAAGGATATCTTCATACTATTGGAATGGCATACTTTCAAGCAATTCTTCAGTATTCCCCAACATTTTTAATGGATTTCTTTATTTATTTGACTTAATTATATGCTTTTGTGTTTGTGTGTGTGTTTTAGGGTTATGGTTTTCCTGTGAACCGACTCTTTGACCTTTTATTTGAAATAAGAGATCAATATAATGAAACACTGCTTAAGAAATGGGCTGGAGTTTTCAGGTTAGTCTAAGCCTTAATGTGATGAAAAAGTTTGTCAAATGCTAACGTAACTGATTTTGCATTTAGCAATTAAAAACACAATTATTTTGTATTGTTTTAAAATATACATAACATAAAATTTCCCGTTTTAACCTTTTTAAAGTGTACAGTGGCTAAGTACATCTGTGCTGTTGCAACCATCATCACTATCCTCCAGAACTTCTTCATCTTCCCGAACTAAACTGTGTATCAGCTAAACAATAGCTCCCTGTTCTCTTCTAGCTTCTGGAAATTACCATTCTGCTTTGTCTCTATGAATTTGACTACTGTAGAAATTTCATATAAGTGGAATCATACAATACTTGTTTTTTCTGCCTGGATTGTTTTGCTTTAGCACAATGTCTTCAAGGTTCATCCATGTTGCAGCATGCGTTAGAATTTTATTCCTTTTTAAGACCGAATAATATTCCACTGTGTGTGTATACCACATTTTATTTATCCATTCATCCATCTGTGGTATTTGGGTTTTTTCCACCTTTTGGCTCTTGTCAATAATGCTGCTATAAACATTATTGTACAAATACCTGTTTGAGTCCCAGTTTTCAATTCTTTTTGGATATGTATGCAGAGCTGGAATTGCTGGATTATGTAGAAAATGTATGTTTATTATTTTGAGGAACTGCCATATTGGTTTCCAGAGTGGTTGCACCACTTATAATCAATTTTTAATTATACTAACTTTAGTTCTAATCTCTGCAGGGTATTTTTTCCCCAGTAAATGGTTAGCTATAAGGCTGTAATTATTCAAATAATTCAAATACAGTGTATTCAGTATTACAGAAATCTATAGATTTTAAATTTTGTTTTGGGAAAGTGCTGTTTTTACAAACAACACAACTAGATTAAAAATCTTAAAGCATCTAATTAGGAAAATTACTTTTACTTTAACCACTCACCTGCAGGTCATGGACAAAGTGTTTTAATAGCTATATAATTTTATATTGCCATAAAAAGAGAAATTTGCTCCCTGCTTTTTAAATTCCAAAAACTTTTGTCCCTGCCTTCTTTTCTCCCTCCTTCCCTCCCTCCCTTTTTTGCTTTCAAAGTCAATCTTGGAGATCTTACATCTAGGTCACCAAAAATAAGATAGAAGCAATGTGGCAATAATATTTGATGACTTATTAAAATAGAAAATATGTTAAATGATTAATACCATCTTGGCATTTACCTCATCAATTTTCAAAACTGTAGAGGGCTAACCTTCTGATACTGTGACAGAAATCTTTAAAAAATACCAGTGGCTTGTGAGGTGATACAATTCTGTTACAATCACCCAAATAAACTCATATTTGACCTTTTTGTGTTAATATTCCAAGGGGGTAATATTGTCAGGGTGTTGTCCCAAATGGATGATTGAGTCTTAATGAGATATGTATTAATATCAACAATCTTTGATATTTAGTAATTTAGAAATGCAGGAAGTGCTTATAGATAGGAATGGTGATCTGTGTATATATATATATAAATCTTTACACATATACATAAAAGTGTGTGTGTGTGTGTGTAAAATCTTTCCTTATAGAGTTTATGGTATTAACTTGCCCTCAGAAGAGTGTTTATGATTATTAAATTTAAATTTACTATCCTTTTAACCCTTTATTTTGAAATACTATTTAGAAGGAAATAGAATTAGTTGAAACCTTTCACTATACTAAGTAAACAGAGCCTTATTTTAACAACCTTGCATACCACCATGCCTCAGTTTGTCTACCTGCTCAGCTTCATTTTGCACCATGTCCCTTGCATACTTCACACTCCAGTAATACTGCCACACTACCTGTAGTTTTAGAACTCCCCACCCACAATCATACTTTTTTCACCCGTTAGGCTTTTGTATGTCATGTGCCATCTTCCTGAAATGCTGTTCTCTCATAATCTCATTGGAAATGTTTCTTTTATCTTTAAAGAACCTATAAAGCCTATAGCTTCTCCGCAAAACTTTCCATGAGATCTCCTCTACCTACTCTGATAAAGTCAATCGCTTCTTTCTTTGTCCTATTTCTGAACCTTGCACCTCTTTTATTTATAAACATAATTTGATTGCCTATCTATTCAAGCTATTAGGTTTGAAAACAAAGACCTTGTTTTTATCTTCTTTAAGTAGGGAGTTTTCATTACAGTAAGCCCAGAGCCTTACACATAATAGGTACTCAGTAAATGCTAATTAAACCGAATTATTGATTAAAAGGAAGTTGATGTTTGCACAGCAGGTATATTAGGACAGACTGGGTTATACTACAGTAACAAAAATGCCCCAGATCTTAGTGGATGAACACAGATATTTTATTTCTCACTCACATAGAAATCCATGGGAGTCTAGTCCAAGGTCTAGATTGTTTGCATTTGTGATTCTGCCTTCTCAACACATGGTCCCTCCTTATCCCATGGGAAGGAGGGTTGCACTGTTAGTCATAAATGGTTTAGGCTTGAAGCAACACATATCACTTCCATTCACAGCTCAGTGGTCAAAACTAGTGAAACAACTCTGCCAGTTTGCAAGGGGGCTGTGTTAGAGTGCACATGGATGTTTGGTGAGGAGTTAAATGTCTCTACCTTACTAACTATAAAAGGTCCTTTTCTAATTACAATAATTATGAGAAACTAAAGAAATTGATTACATCTTCAAGGATCTTTTGATCTAGTTGGGAACAGAGAAGATGCAAGACATGCAACTTGAAAATTGTCCCTGTCAAGAAGTACTAATGGAATACGCTTCATCTCAAGGCTTTGTTTTTAGTAATAGATACTGAGTTTATTCAGACAATATCCTCTTGAGAATTGTTCTTGAGTAGAAAACTAAAACTAAAGTGCTGAGAGGATGTACAACAGGGAGAAGAAGGGAGTGCACATGACTACTTACTTGGTGTTAAATTTTAGAATTCTAGATGACTAGGCATTATTTTCTTAGTTAGACCTTTAACTGACAAAAAATTCTTTTGTAGTAATTAGGTTTTTTTTTTAAGTACTGTTCTATAGTACCCTAATGATAAGTTTCCTAATATTTTTAACTCTCTCTTCTTTCTTAACAGGGACATTTTTGAAGAAGATAATTATAGCCCCATCCCTATTGTTAATGAAGAAGAATATAAAATAGTCATCAGTAAATTTCCTTTTCAAGATCTAGACCTTGAAAAGGTACAAGCTAGTTTTTAATTCAAGAATTTTCTTAAGAATAAATTCCTATTTATTGCTGCATAGTATTAACCTAACACTGTGAGAATGGTTTCTTTTGGGGAAATTTTTTTGTTACTACTTGAGAAAATTAGTCATGTTTTGTTAACTTGTAAAGGCTAGATATTACTACTGCTGTTATTTTGGTGAAGTTAAGAAGGGACTTTCCTGGGGCTACTGGGAGCAGTTGTCCCAAATGTTAGGTGGATTCCCAGGGCAGGTGTTAATAGCATTGGGTGGATTCCAAATTAGATGTCCTAATTTTTGAGCAGATTTTAGGAATTAGAGTATATTCTAGGGAAAGAGAGGAGAATTTCTTTGAAATATCTGTGGAAGATCTTATTTTGTGGCTTATTTTCTAGAAACATAGAACGTTTATCTTGGTTAAGTAAGAGGTGTATGAAGGCAATAGCCATTTGTAGATTCTTTTTCTGAAGTAGAAATATGTATTTTTGGAGTCAAGATGTGTGAAAAAAAGATAGAGAAATGAAAGTCCAGCATGTAGAGTATTTTGGGAATACACCTGATGGCACATGCACATGTTCATACACACACACAGAACTCATGCATGTATCTATCCGGTATCTTTTGGTAGAATCAGATGTCATGGGAAAAGAGTTTCCAGTATTGTCAACTTTTTTATTCTCTTTATCCTTTTTTTTCTCCTTCTCTTCTTTATTATTTTTCCAACTCTTTAAAGTTTAGTCATTTTCTACATTTTTATCCTTTCACCATGAACAAGAGTGAATTCTGGGAGAATTCTGTGAATTGTAATTTTATTTATAACATAAAACTTATAATGTAAATTTTTATGTTATGTATTTATATATATAACCTAAGCATACTATGTGTAATAGTCACTAAAATAGGACCCAAACAACTAATTAAATGCATGGCTTTTAGATTATAGCTAAGTTGCCATTGCATATACTGGTATACCTTGTTTTACTGTGCTTCACTTTATTGCACTTTGCAGATACTGCATTTTTTACAAATTGAAGGTTTTTGGCAACCCTTCATCAAGCAAGTCTGTTAGTGCCATTTTTCCAACAGTATTTGCTCACTTTATGTCTCTTTGTTACATTTTGGTAATTCCTGCAATATTTAAAACTTTTCCATCATTATTATATTTGTTATGGTGATCTGTGATCACTGACTATGACTCACTGAAAGCTCAAATGATTGTTAACATTTCTCAGCAATGAAGTATTTTTTAAATTAAGGTGTGTACATTTTTTTGTAGACATAATGCTATTGCACATTTAATAAGAGTACAATATGGAATAAACATAACTTGAAGCACACTGGAAAACAAAAAAATTAATTTGACCTGCTTTTTGTGATAATCACGTTATTGTGGTGGTCTGGAACCAAATCTGCAATACCTCAAGATATGCCTGTACCTGGTAGTTGTGTCCTAACATGCACAAAAGACCAGAATAATTGATGCTAATTCTATGTTTTTGAAACCTCAGAGTTGTCCCTGTTAAGAAATATTACCAGAATATTCTCCATCCCATAGCTTGATTTTGTTTTCTTTTAGTTACTGTACTAAGTTTGTCCAGGCTGTAGTAGCATCTGTATGAAGAGCATTGGATTTGTTCTGGGTTCACATGCCAGCTCTACCTGTGGCTTATTGTGGGCGAGCAACTTACCCTATTTGGGCATCTGTGCCTCAACTGTCAGATGAGGAAGTTGAACTAAATAATCTCTAATGTCCCTTTTAATCACATTAAACTCTTCTCAATAGGTCTATAGTTGAGCTATATTCATTGGCCTATAATCATTAAAAAGAACTACTCTTAAGGTAAATGCCACATGAAAAATTTTAATGTGACAACTTAAAAAAAGATCCCAAAATTATTTAGTAATGGTCTCTTGGTTATATGTGTATATATTTAATTTTTTTCCTAGTTTTAGTGTAATTTTCCATTAGAACTGTTAGCAAGGATGTAAACCTGTCTCTCAAATAACTTGAGTTGTATTTTCAGTGTAAATTAAGAGTGAGGAAGGAGTAGGACTGAACATCTATGCAGAAATCTGTCTTTTTACAGATAGCTGTTCTAATTTGATTACTACCCTTTGGCTAAAACAAGAACATATTCACATTCTCTTTTTAGTATCATTAAATGAATTCTTAAATCTGAAGTATTTTTCAAATAGTATTGGGCTAGCAAAGCATAAATTGGAGGTGAGTTAGCACTTACATTATCATCAGGTGATTTTAAAGAATAGCAACACTAGTTGATTTTTGTAGTGCTCCTCCTTGAGTTTCTAAATTTGGAAAGGTTTAACCTACCACTTTTGGAGAGACACTGCTCTCTGTGAATGTTTTCACTGCTAGCTGCTTGTGCAGGAGGGAGCTAAGGATACATTTGGTCATTCGTATATTTATCATTCACCTACTATGTAGCAGATCCTGTGCTATGTATGTTTTTCAGTCTCTGCTATGAAGGATAGGTAAATAAATAAAGAGGAAATTACAATTCACAGAATTTGGCACTGCTCAATATAGAGGACGCAGCATACAGAAAGGCTATAATTCTGTAACATAAAGTACAAGGTTGATAAAGTACAAGAGATGAAGATCAAGAAATGAAGATGACAAAGGAGAAAGGCCAGACTATAATAGTTCTTGTAAACAGTGTTAGAGGGGTTACCTTTATCCTGAGGACTCTGAAAAGTCACCACAGGATTTTAAGCTGTAAGAACATTGTCAGATTTGTGATTTAGGAAGATCTGGCTAATGTGTGGAAAAACAAATGGAGAAGAGTTTGACTAGTGACTAGGAGACAAGTCAGGGGATTTTTGCAGTTATTTGTTGAGAGAGATTGGTGACTTGAGTTATGGCCTTGGAATGTGATTTAAGAGATGTTTAGGAGGTAAGAACAACATGGGTTGGTGATTGTGTATAAGGGATGGTGAAGATGATAGAGTGGTCAAGTGTGATAGCCAAGTTTCTGCCTTTAATGGTGGTAGCATTCCCTAAGATAAGAAACACAAGAGGAGCAGACTTAGAAGGAAGCGATGATAATTTCACTTTTGGATCTGTTGAGTATGTTGCAAATGTTACAGCCAAAAGGAGGTGTCCAACTGGTAGTTAGATATATGAATTTGGACTTCAGAAGAAAGATTTGGCCTGGAGTTGTAGTTTTGGGGTAATATTGGTACTTGCATGGTGATTGAAGTCATAAGAGTAGATGAGATCATCCAAGGACAGTATGCATGGTGAAAAGAGAAGATAGGTTAGAACTCTTAATACAGAGCAGTAATTACGGGATGGCTGCAAGAAGTGGTATAGAGAAGATAGAGAAATAAGTGGAAAACCAGAGTGGATAATGGATACCAAGAAGGAGAGATCATTTAAAAAGCAGGAGGAGGCCAACTGTGTCAGATACTTTAGATAAGTCAGGTAATATGAGAACTGGAAAAGTCCATTGGATTTAACATATGTGAGGTCATTGGTGACCTTGGTGAGGGTACTTACACTGGTATAACTAGGTTGCAATGAATGTAAAGATAGAAGTGTAGATTAGACTTCATTAAGTATAAATAAAGGGCTTTGGTAAAAATCTTTGAGAGACTACATTTTGGAGATTGAGAATTTGCTAATGGACATTGGCTGATAAAGCACTTTAGTGAATAAGCCCACAGTAAACCATTGGCTGCATATCAGTGTTTGCTGATACACTGGTCAGAAAGCTTCTGTAAGATATTCTAGGAGTTACAGAATGAAATGGATACCTTCTTGAATTGGCATCAATCTTTCATTAGAGGTGAGTAAAAGAAGTCTTAGAAGTATTTGATGGTACTGAGGTAGGATTCAGACCCCTAGTTTTATGGCAAACCTGACTCATATTATGGATGCAGAGAAGCAGACAGCTAGGCATCTTCTGCAGGATATGTATCATCAGAACATGCAAAGGTATTGATTTATGCTTTCTATGCTGGTTAGAAGTCTGACAATATGACTTAAGAAACAGGTAAATCGCCATATTTTTTTTCTCCAGAAATATTTTGGTTTTCTTTAAAATCTCAAAAATAATGTAGCAGTATGATAGTAAACTTTGGGATGCAAGTATTTACTATCAATTCAAATGTGAAATCAGCTTAATTTTTACATTTTTAAGTTATTAGAGTATCTTTTTCTAAAATTTCAAATACAGTATCAAATTTTTTCTTTCTGCAGCAACCTTTCCCAAAGAAATTCCCCATGTCTCAGTCAGTGCCTTATATTTACATTCAAGTTAAAGAATTTATTTATGCCAGCCTTAAATTTTCAGAATCACTACACCGGAGGTAAGTTCACTAATAAGAGATGTGTCTTTATCCCAGCTATTTTTATGAAACATTAACATTGACCTGCAGGCCATGACTCTTTAACAGATTATTATCTTATTAGAAAGGTTTACACATTTTAACGGTGCTTGGGATTAAATTGCTATAAATCTGACTTCTTTTTTTACTTTTTATTATGTAGCTCTTCACACACACATAAGAATAGAGAAAAATAGAGTAAAAGTAAGCTGATGTGCTTAATAGTTTTGTTTTTTCTCAGATAAACTTGAAGTGAGGATTCAGACAAAATCAGTAAAATTATAATAAAGAATGCTATAGCAAATTGGTATCATACTCATTAATGGAGAGCAGTATAGTAGCTGTTGGTAGCTATAGCCAACTTGATTTTATAGACAAGGATGCCATTTACCTGGTGTGATGAAAGGAATACCCTACTTATGTAGATAGGAAATGTGATATCCCTGTTTTGCTAATAAGGAAATTGATAAGATCAGAGAGGCTATATTTTTTATCCAAAATCACCCAGCTGCTTAGTTTGAGAGCTGAGATTCTTCTGACTACCATATCAATGAAAGCATCTAGCATATAAGGATCCATCACTTAATGTTATAGGAACATTAATCTTTATGCCACACCTTGTTCCAGCTATTCAGATGGACCCTGCATTACAGTCAGTCATAGGATGTATTTCTAATTGTGAATACTCTCTGGAGGAGAACCTGGTGATGGTGACTGTTCTAATGTCTCCCTCTCTTAAATCCATTCTTCTGAATTTGTATATTGAATAGCAGGAAATGCCCTTCAGTGTGAAACTCTTCTGAATTTTAAGTCATAAAAAGGCATGAAGGCAACTCAGACATTAGTTATTTTTCAAGCCAAAACAGAACAATGGCAGTCATTTTTATTTTATTGTATCTGTGTCTCTTATTGTAAGCTACCATTATTTTGGATTTAAACAATATATAAATAAATGGAGAAAAAAATGTGTGTTCTGCCAGGCAAAATAGTTATCTTAAGTCTTAAACTTTTTCCTTTTGAATAGGGATTCTTTAAAAGATAATTTATTTTTGTTCTTGAATGAGTTGGAGAAGAAAGGAAAAGAAAGGAAGACAGATACCTCATGCAGAGCATCTACTGTCTATGTGTTTCTCACAAACCAAAAAGTATAGTCCCCAGACCAGCAGCATTAGCATCACATGGGAAATAGTTAGAAATGCAACTGTACACCTACCAAACTAGACACTGAAGATGAGGCTCTTGGTTTTACCGAGTTCTTTTGTTGATTTGGATAGGGTCTGAAGCTTAAGAACACTGCTTTAAGCTTCATCATACTCTACCAGCCTCTTGTACCAAAGTCTCTGTAATATAAAATACAAAGATATATCTTAAAGATATTAGCATTTAACCTCAGCATAAAACTCACTAGAGGTAATATATTCTCTGTACTACACAACATGACACACACAATATAACCTAGTGTTATATAAACAATGCATACAACTGAGTATTAACTGAAAAGGAAGAACTAACTATTGCACTGGTAGTTTTCTCATTTTATTTTTCTTTAATTTTTTATTAAGGTATTATTGATATACACTCTTATGAAGGTTTCACATGAAAAAACAATGTGGTTACTACATTTACCCATATTATCAAGTCCCCACCCATACCCCAATGCAGTCAGTGTATGCCAGATTCACTGTTTGCCTTCTCTGTGCTACACTGTTCTCCCCGTGATCCCCCATACCATGTGGACTAAACATAATACCCCTCAATCCCCTTCTCCCTCCCTCCACATCCACCCTCCCACACACTTCCCCTTTGGTAACCACTAGTCCCTTCTTGGAGTCTGTGAGTCTGCTGCTATTTTGTTCCTTCAGTTTAGCTTCATTGTTATACTCCACAGATGAGGGAAATCATTTGGCACTTGTCTTTTTCCACCTGGCTTATTTCACTGAGCATAATATCCTCCAGCTCCATCCATGTTGTTGCAAATAGTAGGATTTGTTTCCTTTTTATGGCTGAATAGTATTCCATTGTGTATATGTACCACATCTTCTTTATCCATTCATTTACTGATGGACACTTAGGTTGCTTCCATATCTTGGCTATTGTAAATAGTGCTACAATAAACATAGGGGTGCATATGTCTTTTTGAGTCTGAGAAATTGTATTCTTTGGGTTAATTCCAAGGAGTGGGATTCTGGATCAAATGGTATTTCTATTTTTAGTTTTTTGAGGAACCTCCATATTGCTTTCCACAATGGTTGAACTAGCTTACATTCCCACTGCAGTGTAGGAGGGTTCCCCTTTCTCTGCATCCTCGCCAACATTTGTTGTTCTTAGTCTTTTTGATGCTGGCCATCCTTACTGGTGTGAGGTGATATCTCATTGTGGTTTTAATTTGCATTTCACTGATAAGTAGTGATGTGGAGCATCTGTTGGCCATCTGAATTTCTTCTTTGGAGAATTGTCTCTTCATATCCTCCACCCATTTTTTAATAGGGTTATTTGCTTTTTGGGTGTTGAGGCATGTGAGTTCTTTAAATATTTTGGATATTAACCCCTTGTAAGATATGTCATTTACAAATATATTCTCCCTTACTGTAGGATGCCTCTTTGTTCTGTTGATGGTGTCCTTTGCCGTACAGAAACTTTTTAGTTTAATGTAGTGCCATATGCTCATTTTTGCTTTTGTTTCCTTTTCTCGAGGAGATGCATTCAGGAAGAAGTTGCTCATGCTTATATTCAGGAGATTTTTGCCTATGTTGTCTTCTAAGAGTTTTATGATTTCATGACTTACATTAAGGTCTTTGATCCATTTTGAGTTTACTTTTGTGCATGGGGTTAAACAGTAATCCAGTTTCATTCTCTTGCATGTAGCTGTCCAGTTTTGCTAACACCAGTTGTTGAAGAGGCTGTCATTTCCCCACTGTCTTATATTAATTGATCATATATGGTTGGGTTTATATCAGGGCTCTCAAGTCACTTCCATTGGTCTATGGTTCTGTTCTTGTGCCAGTACCAAATTGTCTTGATCACTGTGGCTTTGTAGTAGAGCTTGAAGTTGGGAAGCATAATCTCCCAAGCTTTATTCTTCCTTCTCAGGATTGCTTTGGCTATTCGGGGTCTTTTGTGGTTCCATATGAATTTTAGAATGATTTGCTCTAGTTCATTGAAGAATGCTGTTGACATTTTGACAGGAATTGCATTGAATCTGTAAATTGCTTTAGGCAGGATGGCCATTTTGACAATATTAATTCTTCCTATCCATGAGCAAGGGATGTGTTTCCATTTATTGGTTTCTTCTTTAATTTCTCTCATGAGTGTCTTGTAGTTTTCACAGTATAGATCTTTCACTTCCTTGGTTAGGTTTATTCCTAGGTATTTTATTCTTTTTAATGTAATTGTGAATGGAATTGTTTTCCTGATTTCTCTTTCTGCTAGTTCATTGTTAGTTCATAGGAATGCAACAGATTTCTGTGTATTAATTTTGTATCCTGCAGCTTTGCTGAATTCAGATATTAGATCAAGTAGTTTTGGAGTGGAGTCTTTAGGGTTTTTTATGTATAGTATGTCATCTGCAAACAGGGACAGTTTGACCTCTTTCTTGCCAATCTGGATGCCTTTTATTTATTTGTGTTGTCTGCTTGCTGTGCCTAGGACCTCCAGTACGATGTTGAATAGAAGTGGGGGGAGTGGGCATCCTTGTCTTGTTCCCGATCTTAAAGGAAAAGCTTTCAGCTTCTCGCTTTTAAGTATAATGTTGGCTGTGGATTGGTCATGTATGGCCTTTATTATGCTGAGGTACTTGCCCTCTATACCCATTTTGTTGAGAGTTTTATCACGAATGGATGTTGAATTTTGTCAAATGCTTTTTCAGCATCTATGGACATGATCATGTGGTTCTTGTCCTTCTTTTTGTTGATGTGGTGGATGATGTTGATGGATTTTCGAATGTTGTACCATCCTTGCTTCCCTGGAATAAATCCTACTTGATCATGATGGATGATCTTTTAGATGTATTTTTGAATTCGCTTTGCTAAAATTTTGTTGAGTATTTTTGCATCTATGTTCATCAGGGATATTGGTCTATAATTTTCTTTTTTTGTGGTGTCTTTGCCTGGTTTTGGTTATGAGAGTGATGCTGGCCTCATAGAATGAGTTTGGAAGTATTCCCTTTTCTACTCTTTGGAAAACTTTAAGGAGGATAGGTATTAGGTCTTCACTAAATGTTTGTTAAAATGCAGCAGTGAAGCCATCTGGTCCAGGAATTTTGTTCTTAGGTAGATTTTTGATTACTAATTCAATTTCCTTGCTGGTAATTGGTCTGTTGAGATTTTCTGTTTCTTTGTGGGTCAGCCTTGAAAGGTTGTATTTTTTTCGAAAGTTGTCCATTTCTTCCAGGTTATCCAGTTTGTTGGCATATAATTTTTCATAGTATTGTCTAATAATTCTTTGTATTTCTGTGGTATTCATTGTGATTTTTCCTTTCTCATTTCTGATTCTCTTTATGTGTGTAGACTCCCTTTTTTTTCTTGATAAGTCTGGCTAGGGGTTTATCTTTTTTTTTATTTTCTCAAAGAACTAGCTCCTGCTTTCATTGATCTTTTTATTTATTTCTGCTCTAATCTTTGTTATGTCCCTCCTTCTGCTGACTTTGGGCCTCATTTGTTCTTCTTTTTCTAGTTTCACTAATTGTGAGTTTAGACAGTTCATATGCAATTGTTGTTCTTTCCTGAGGTGGGCTTGTATCGTAATATACTTCTCTCAGCCCAGCCTTCATTGCATCCCACAGATTTTGCAGTATTGAATTATTGTTGTCATTTGTCTCCATATGCTGCTTGATCTCTGTTTTTATTTGGTCATTGATCCATTGGTTATTAAGGAGCATGTTGTGAAGCCTCCGTGTATTTGTGGGATTTTTCATTTTCTTTGCATAATTTATTTCTAGTTTCATACCTTTGTGATCTGAAAAACCATTTGGTACAATTTCAATG